GGTCGCATGTAACGACCACTCCTTTGAGGGTGGACATGTGCTCGAAGACAAAAAATCCATCATGATTAAGGCCGAGAGGCTGGATGGTCGCATGTAACGACCACCCCTTTGAGGGTGGACATGTGCTCGAAGACAAAAAATCCATCATGGTTAAGGCCGAAAGGCTGGATGGTCGCATGGAACAACCACTCCTTTGAGGGTGGACATGTGCTAGGAGGCACCTAGAGCCATTGAGATTCATTACTTCATCAGGATTAGTTAAGGGGATGAAGGGCGCGGCTTAAAAAATCGGTGAAAATGATATCGACACATAGCGATAACGCAGGCTAAATAACGAACACATCATATAAAGTGATACATCGACAAGCAAATAATCGAGAAACAAAGAGAATGCACAAATTTCAACAAAAACAATATTCATTTAGAGAGGAAGGAGTACAAAGTTCAATAAAAGTTAAAATTACAACTTCACGATGCGGCATTATCCTGGCCAACAGGGGCATCGGAATTATCAAGGGCTTGTTCTAAGGGTGACTCAAGCTGCGGTGGTACTGGTTCAGTCGGCTGACTGGAGCCAGAGGTCGACCCAGCCCCATCAGTGGATTGCGTTTGGCGAGCAAGTGGAGGAATGTACACGTCGGGGAGCTTGATGGTGCGCTTTAGCAGGTCGTCTTGGTCCACGACAAGCTCGAGCAGGCCTGACCACCAGTCATGGTCGTCGGGCAGGGCGAGAGCACTCTGATAGCCTACCGGAGTGCATAGTATCCCATATGGTTTCCATGTTGAACTCCTCGAACCCGTCCTCGGCTGCTTGGATCCCCGCTTGTTGCATTATGGCCCCAAAGCAGTGGGTGCCGTAATCTTGCACGTCCTTTAGATACTGTGGGGACTGCTTGAAAGCAGCCACCACTTGCTCGCGGTATCATGTAGGAAGCATTGACCAGCGGTCGTGTGGAAGACCATTCGCCGAGCCGGAAGGGCAGCCTCGTCGATCAAGGGCTTAGCCCTCTGCTCGAAAGAAACGTTTTCACGTGCCCGAGTTGACTTCTTCTCCTCGAGTGCAGCCTCGAGAGCTTTTTTGGAAGCCAGGAGGGCCTCTTTCTCTGCTCGCTCGGCTGCGAGGGCCTCCTCGAAGGATTTCAGGGCCCCCTCGAGCGTTTCCTTCCCAGCGGAGAGGGCCTTATTCCGGGCGGCCGACTCCTTCAGCCTTTCATGAAGAGCATTGGCCTTGATGATTATCTCATCCGGCCGAGTGCCGAGCTGGAGATTGCTTCGCTCGATGGCTGAGATGGACCGACTCGGGCTTGCTAACGTCTGCTCGATCAGCGGTGCGAGCTCGACCATTCCCTACAAGGGCACATAAAAGAAAGTGTTAGGGCACTAACGAGGGGGGAAATGGAATAAAATAGATAAGTGTCAAGTTACAGTAGGTTACCTGAGCCATCCAGCGGGTAAGTCGATGGCCTCGATCTCGAAGGGTGTGACCTTCGTTATAGCGGTCGGTAGGATGGTCGACGGGAGGAAGAACATCCCAAAGGAAATGCGATAATCCCACGCCGTCGAGCGTGGTGATTGAAAGCGCAGTCTTCTCAACACAACGACGCTTGCCGTCATTTTCGTCCCCCCCAGCAGAGGGACGCTTAAGTGGATTCTCCTCGAGCCGAGTTCGTACGAGAGAAGCAGGAATGTGGATAACTGGGGTGGGCTAGTCGTGCGATGGAGAGCGCGGCGCAGGAGATGCTGGTTTCTCGGGCTGCTCTGGTTGCTCGACTGGCTAGTCAGCCGAAGGGTTGATCGGAGATGGTTGCTCGACGGTTACGTCAGGAGGAGGTGAGGTCGAGCGTACAGACTGGAAGGTGGTCGAGTCAGCAGGCCTTGAGCTTGACCCCTCGATAGCTTGTTTCTTTCTCAAAGGAGCTTTCCTCCTAGGCACAGAGATAGCGGGCATCACTGCAAGAAAATTTATGCACAAGTTAAAACCGCAATAGGTACACAATGTGTGAAACAAACATGATGATACTCGAGCCTGTTCAGTGACAACACATACCTGGGTCACCCTCGATCCGGATGAGATCAAAAGTTTTCTGGCTAGGGAGAGGATGAGATTTGTGGGTAAGAAGTCCACAGAAGTGCAGGAGGTCCTCATCCTCGAGCAAGGTCTTCGATGCAACGGGTTTGCTGTTCCATACTGCAATCCGTTGTTCGAAGAGCGTGTTGGTTGAAGGTGTTGAATACTCACGCGGAAGTTCTTTAAGCCAAGGAGATGACGCCCAAGGGAAAGCAGGTTTGGGCTCGACAAAGGCGAATTTGTCTTTCCACTTAGGGACGTTTGGAGGAGTGTCTGAGATGAAACGGACATCGTTGCGGCCTTTGAGGTAGAGCCCCTAAACATGTTTTGAGGGTGTATAGTAGTGATGGACGAAATCTAGGTTGAGCCGACCTAGGCGAATGTGACAGAGGATGATGAAGACAGTGATAAAACGAATGGCATTAGGTGGAAGTTGGTTCAAGGGCAGGTCGAACCACTTACAAAGATCGATCAAATCTTGGCTTAGGGGAAAACGAATGCCGAGTTTAAATTGAATTTTAAAGAAAGTGTAGCAGTTTCGGGGAGGGTTGTCATAGGTATCTCGGGGGCCTGGAGATATGAAAGCCCAGCTGGCAGGATAGCCAACTTCTTCGACATCCAGCCAGCCAGCTATAAGAGAGCGGGGGAGGAAGAAGATACTCTGGTTGACTTACTTTTCTTCGGGGCAGCCTTAGGTGAGGTAGTGACAAGGATAGCCGGAGATGCACGAGGTGTAGCATCGGTCGAGGATTTTGGAGCACCTTTCTTAAGATTAGGGGGAGGAACAACTCTAGCAAAAACGGAATGGTGAGAAAGGGGAGTATTATTTTCATCCTCCTCAGCAGCATCAAGAGCCTCTTCCGCGGGTTGAGGGGGATGTGGTCAAAGGCATCCTCATCTGATTCATCAATCAGACGAGTAGGTTGGCGAGGAGGAGAAGGTGTGACATAATCGGAAGGGCATAAAACGCTGAGAGGAGTGGGGTTGTAGATCTCTTCGACAGAACGAGAAGGCGAGTGAAGAATAGGCCGATGAGCGGGGAATGATGACGGGGCGATCTCATCTTCACCAGAGTGATGGCTTTGCGTATTAGAATCGACGAAATCTGAAAAGTAGAAAGGAAAATAGAGAGGGAAGAAGAAAAGTTAGGGTTTCGAAAGGTGAAGAAAGGGGATCTTTCCGCAGATGAAACGAGAAGGTCTCGAGGAAAATAAGAAGCAACAAGGAAAAAACCAAAAATCGACAAAATAAACACACGCGAACACAAAATTAAAGCATAGGAGACTTACTCCTAGTTGCAGTGGAGAGTGGTTGCCGAAAATTGCTAAGAGAGGAGACGCCATGAGCCGGGAAGAACAATGTGCAAAGGAAGAAAGTAGGGCCCAAGGGAGTTCAGGATTTGCAAAAGTGAGGAAAGCCCGAAAATTTGCTTAAGTGCCGTATTTATAGAAGCGCAGAGGAATAAGGTGAAGAGTTAATGGAAATAGCCGTTAGATAAAAGGGGATCCAACGGTGAGAAGAAGCGAAGAAGGCACAGATAGCGAAGCGGCGCAAATCGCGAGGAGGCACGATGATTAAAAGTACAGAACTGATAGGACATGTGGCAGGCGGAAATCACGCTGATAATAAAAGGAAATAAGAGGCAGTTATAGTGCACAATAAAATCGACCACGTGGTCGAAGAAAGGTACCGACATCAGCAAACACGATCAAAAAAGGAGGCCAGATGCAAGTAGGAGATCGAGAGGTTGGCAGAGTGGAGAAGACCGCTTGAATTCACTCTTAGATCGAGTCATTCAGACTCGACTAGAGTGGGGGGGACTAGATGATATGGGATATTATATGACTAAGGAATAGACCGGCCTACCGCATAGGTCGGACAAGCTCGAAGTAGAGAAAACCGCATTGGTTGAAGAATGATCGACCAAAAGGGAAGGGATCGAGCAGAATAGCAGAACTGGTCGAGGATCGACCTAGCGATGGGGGGGGCTCGATCAGATCGAGCACCCAGCAGAGGGAGAACAGTCGAGAGCGTGGCTTGAACGCGAAAAAGCGCGTGGGTGGCGTTAGAAGATCCTAACGGCCTGCGCAGAAGAATAATCTCCCTCAGCTCAGAGGGACACGTGGCGAGAATACATTGGTGCAGAGCAATAGTGGCGATAACCACCTCTGACATCTCTGACATACACACACTATGTGTGTATGGACGGGCAGTACGGGCAGGACAACTCACCAAAAGCCGGGCAGCTCCTAGGGCAGGTATCTCACTCCTATATATATGGGAGTGGGTCTTTTCTTGTGACGGACATTCTTTACTTTGGAAAATTGAACAAACACATACTGACTTAAGCATCGGAGGCTCTTCACCGGAAAACCCCTCCGGTCTGAGAGTTCTGTGCAGGTGTGCGGCGTTCTACCGGCGAGGAAGAGGAAGGCAACCAATTTCAAGCCAGTCGGAATGTTTTGCGTTACCAGCAGAAGGATCCAATTTTACAGATGGTGGACAGATCGTTCATCATCCGTGTTGAGTTCGACAAATTCCCAATAACGGTAATTTATTTTTTTCCCATTTCGCAGCATGTTAACATATCAAATATTACACCGACATATCTTTATTGCAGATTTTACCCCCTGCCATGGATGCATACCTTAGGATGGTTGGGGTTGTACAATTTCGACTGCACAATGACAAGAGGAACACTTGGATTGTTGTCGCCGGTCTAAATGGCGGAAGCGCCGTCTTCCAAGAGGGTTGGGGTAGATTCCTTCTTGGTAATGGACTAAAAGAGGGAGACACCGTTTTGTTCGATCATGTTGGTTTGCATATCTTCAATGTTTTTTTTTTATGATAAAGGAAACATAAAATTCGCTCCTGCTAAAGGTGATCTACCTCCTTATGCAGGTAGAAAGGATTTTATGACTTAGTTTATATTTCTTTGTAAAATGAACATGTCAACTTATAAGATGAACATGTTATGTTATAAGATGAATATGTTGTATTATAAGCTAAATATGTTAAATTATAAAATGAACATGTTTCTTTCTCAGATGAACTTGTTTATTTACACGATGAATATGTTGAGTTTGTACCAGGTGAATAATTAGATTTTGTACGTAATATGTTACTTAACACGATGAATATGTTTCTTTGTAAAATGAACATGTAAAATTGTATAATGAAGATGTTCTTTCATATGATGAGTATGTTTTGTTATCAGCTGAATATGAACTTTGTCGTTAAATAATTAATTTAAAAAAAATGGTTGAAGGTTCGCGCATCATGGGAATTGAACTCGTTCTTGAATTAAATTTTGGATATAACTAAGAGACAAATAAGTGCAAAAGTCAAATTGTTATAGACAATTCGAATTGTTCGACATGTTCGTGTTCGTGTTTATAGACAACTCGAATTGGCTCCTACAGTCGTACACGGCTACTGTCAGATTATATCAACTTCGTGAAAAATTTAACATCGCGATTTAATTTAAAAGTATATTTATTAACCACTTTTGAAATAGTGAATTAATTTAAAATCCAATTTATTAACCACCTTTGAAATACTTAATTAATTTAAAATCCAATTAATAATGTTATTAATTTTATAATTTGTAAGTTTACAAATAACATTGTCAGTTTAAATTTGCAATTAATTACGCATACCTAAACATTAAATAAAGTACTACATGTCAACAATTGTCAAAGTGTGAAGGAAAAAGGAATGACCATTTGAAGAGACATCTATCACGTTTATATCATCCGAAACCAAAGGAATTAATAAATGTCTGCAGTTCTGCACCCAAACAACCTTCGCCCCCAAAAAAAAGTAATCTTCTCGTTCATAAATCACAACTTTCTTCTTTGAAGATAAGAGGTCTTACAAAAAATCAACCCGTTAACCCATCCCCCTCCCAAAAAAAAAAAAAAATTGCAGATGGATCCACCGTTCATGGTCCGAATTGATTCACTCGAGAACCCAATCACGGTAAAGTGCTATCATATAGTATTCATACTTGATTAGTTATTTCTATTTTTTTTAGCCTTAGAAGATATAATAAACCATAAGAAATAATTTTTTAAAAAATTTGCAGGTTTTTCCACAGTCAGCCGATGCATATATTCGGCGAAGGAAGTATAAAGATCTACATGTGTACAACTACAACTGGGATCAGTGGAATGTAGGGATCGTTGTGAGTTTGGGCAATGTTATATTCCAGAAAGGTTGGCGTAGCTTTCTACATGATAATGAAATACAAGAAGGGGACACCCATATTTTCAAACATGTTTGTCTTAACATGTTTGAATTAAATATTTTCAATAAAAAAGGGGGCTTAAAAACCCCTCCTGAGAAGGGAGATCTGCCACCATATAATGGTCAAAACGATTTTATGACTTAGATTATGGTTATTATTATTTTTTTATGTAATTTAGTTTAAACAAATTGTTGAATGTAGTGTTTTCTGTTTATGTTTCGCTACGGATGCTGCACTATATTTTTATTGCTTGCATTTTACATTTAATAACTTACTTGAACAAAAAGATTTATGTGCTAAAATAATTCATTTACTCTAGTCTTTGCGAACAAATTAAGGAAAATAAATTTGTCAAATGTAGTGAACGTCCAATATAATTGTATATTTTTTCAATATCCATATTTGACTATATATATATATATATATATAAAGTATAGAAATATGATGTACAAATTACAGTTGTATATTATCAGAAAGGTAATGCAAGTAGTTTAAACTTGTTAAGAGCCATGAGTAATTACACTTGTACAAGATGAACCATAAGTGTTTCTACGTCATATGTTTCTTAACATGATGAATATGTTTCATTGTAAAAAGAACATGTCAAATTCTTAACATGATGTAATATGTTTCTACGTCATATGTTGACTTTGTCATTAAATAACTAATTAAAAAATATCATGATATTTTAAAATCGAAATTTGGTTCGTTTGCAGCCCAACGGCAAACCAATAAACATTGGTTTTAAAATCGATATAAATGATGACTGAGAAATAAATGTTTGTATGTAACATGTTTCTTGGCATGATGAATATGTTCTTTGTAAAATGAACATGTCAACTTATAAGATGCACGTGTTATGTTATAAGATGAATATGTTGTATTATATGCTAAATATGTTAAATTATAAAATGAACATGTTTCTCTCTCAGATGAACATGTTTATTAACACGATGAATATGTTGAGTTTGTACAATGTGAATAATGGGTCTACTTCCAGATCTGGAGTAAACCGGTTGTTGTGAGCTCAGATCTGCTTGAACCGCTTCCCAATCGTTGCTAGACCGCGAGATTCCTGCAAAAACTCAACGCCGGAGGTGTTTCCGGCGTAGAGCCTCCGACGCTCAAGTCAGTATGAGAGTGATGAAGAGATGCTGCGCATCAGCTATGGGGGAGAGTGGGAATGAATGAGAGTTCGGGTTTAGGGTTACCTCATCTCCTTTATATAGGAGTGAATATTTACCTGAAGTACCCAGAATGCCCAAGTCGGTGGACCTAGAAGGTCCAAAATGCCCTGGTCGATTCGTCTCCCCTTGTTGCTGAGTCATCACCATATTCCTTCTTATCCTTTGTAATGTGTAGAACTTTAAGTATGTTATAAGTGTGATGAGTCGTCATCATATCTTTGCTATTCGAGGTATGCGAGGTCGACTTCGAGAGCTAGGAGATCGACTTGTGGATATGCGCGGATTCGGAGGCTACTCTTGACTACTTCTTTGAGGTGAAGTCGTCTTCAAAGAGTCGTCTTAGTTCAGTCGACTGCTGAGAGTCGACTTAGGATATCGGGATGTTCGGGCGTTATACTCTTGCTGCCCTTCTTTCATTGATGTCGACTAGTAAAGGTCGATAGACTAAGGTCGAGTTGGGAGAGTCGACTAGACCAATTTTTGTCTCTTCCCGATTGCTCTCAGTAGAATCGTCTTTAGGGAAGTCGGTGTGAGAATGTCGATAGAGTCCTGTCGACATACGGGTTGTTCGAGTGGTTCGCCGGTCGAGTAGGAAGCTTCTAGACCGGGTTATCCTTATGTGGCTATATCATCTAGTCCCCCCCAAAAATTACTCTAAGCAGTCGGCTGCTTAAGAGTAAATTTGGTGAAGTATAGTTGTGTCGCCTTCCTGCCATTCTTGCTCGTACTGGCCTCTTCTGCAACTCGTCTCGTCAATCAATTAGGGCGCACCTCAATCTCATGATTGCTTTTTCGGATAAGTCTGACACTCTGAGAGAACCATTTCAAATTTCAAATTTCAAAACCCTAAAGTGAAGCGCGTCACCTCCATCACCGACTCCTCGAATTCTGCGCTTCATCAGCATCGTTGGTTCTACTATCGATCCAACGGTTCGCATCTATTGCCCCTGTGTATAAATACATTGTGAGTTGGCCTCATATGGCTTTTCACGCTTTCAACTTCTCTAATCTTCCCACTGCTTCCAACTCTCCGGCGATTTCTATTCTTCGGCTTCACCGGCGTTCTCCTTCTCCGGCAACTTAGCATTTTCTCCGAACTCATCAAGGCATCATGTGTAAGTTTCACTACCTTCTCTCATTTTTTAGATTTCTATTGTTTTCTTCTTCTTCTCTCTTTTTTTATTTTTCTGGCTTTTTTCAAATCTGGAGGTCATGCGTGTTCTTCGTGTTCTTCACGAATTTCTTATGGGTTTTGCATTGGATCTCTTTATGCGCACACTCTGCTAGAATTTATTGTTTTTACCAGTCGTCGGCTGCCGATGTGCAGTCGATTTTCACCTGTCGCTAAGTCGGCTCTTGTCGACTTAGTGGTCTTCTTCATTCAGTTTTCTCTTTTCGAGTCGACTAAGGTCGACTTACTGATTTATTTAAGTCGAGCTATCGATAGCGAGTGCCCCTTCTTTGTCCTTTCATCCTCTGTCGATTATTGCGAGTTGTCCTGATTCGATCTTGTAGGCCCTAACTCATGACTTTACTAACTTCGACCTTTTCCTTCTTTTTCTTTCCTTAGCTTCCGACTCGTCTCCTCTCTCTGGCTCCCTTGGTCAGCAGATCAACGATTATATTTGTCAAGCCGACGAGGGTTCTAGTTCTGACTCTGTCGAGGTAACCGACTATTGGATGGTTTCGCTGCCTTCCCATTCCTCTCCCCCTCTCGCCACTGCTTCTTCTGCCGACTGGGAGCAGCACTACCAAGCGCTCTTGGAGGGCGGCTTAGTCGACATTGTGAAGAGCCCTTGTAGCGCCCCGTTTATTTATGGATAATTTTAGGATTTTTTATTATTGTTTATTAATATTATTATTACATATTGTTTGTTATTATTATTATTGTTGTTATTATTATTATTATTATTATTATTATTAGATGCCTAATTATCTTTAAATGGCTAAATGTTTATTATTATTATTATTATATTATTGTGTGTATCATTATTTAATTATAGATGTGTAAAATATATTTTATTATAAAAGCCAAATTTTATTTTAATTTATCGTTCGAACCAAGCCATTTTATTTTGGCTAAATAAATCGTGAATATTGAGCCGAGAGAATCTTTTTTTTTTTTTTCCTTGAACTTTCGTTCTCTCCCAGAAGCCAAATCGCCGCAATTTTTTTTTCTTTCTATCCCTCTCTCTCTCGATCGTCGGCAGGAGCAGAGAACAAGGAAAGAAATCTCTCGCTCGAGAAATCCGATCTTCCCTCATCTCTTTCCCTCTCGTTATAAACCCTCGCCATCCCACGTCGTAAGTTTTCTGGCGAGTTTCCCCAACCGCGACTTCGAGTGCCACCGTGAACCCTTCGACGCCGCGACCAGCAAGCTGGCGAGCCGCTACAATTCCCCCTCGTTTCCCGGTCGTTTTCCCTAGCGTCGCGCGTCACCATCCTTCTCTTCCGTCTGCAACTCCTCGCTGGCGAACCGCTGCACCTCCTCGAGCAGCACCTCAGCCCAGAATTCCGACGACCATCTGCTTTCCCCCTCAGCAGCAACAGCAGCAATTCCGGCGAACCCCAGCAGCTCGCCGACGAGCCCTCCATGTGAAGCTCCTCTTCCGCGAGCCAACCGTTGAGCCCGTGCCGCCGCCTTATGCCGCGGCGAGCTGCTCCTCGTCTCAAGCATCGAGCGCCGCAGCAACCGAGCAGTCGAGAATAGCCGCTGCTGCACCTTTTTTCCCGGCGAGATGCGAGAATCCGTCGAGCCCTTCATCCCCGTTCGTCTTTTTCGTTTCCGTTTTCCGAGTTTTCCCGAGAACGGTACCTAGTCGATCTCGTCTCGTTTAAATCGTTTATATGTTAATTGCTTATCGTGTTTTAAATGACGTGATGTGCCCTTGCGATTTGATTTACGAGATGTGAATATGTTGCGATTAATGGGTTCGACATAAATTTATGTGAAAGAGATGATTTTATGTGCATTCGTATATATGTTAGGGATCTCTTCAATTATGAGAAATTGAACGAGACCTCGAGAGTCGTGTAAGTCAGTGGATATTGGAAAAAAGTCGGGTCTTTGGTCTTACGAGAAGGCCTCGGACGAGAAATTAATTGTTATGTGTTATGTGTGAATCGTCGATTTCGGTAATTGCTGTTTTGGTGTTTGAATTTTTAAAAATAGCTCGCTGCTCGAAACGATTTGAAAATTTGAGGGTGGTGTTTTCTGTTCATTACCAGCCTTATGTAAAAATTTCGTAATTTTTAGAGGCCTGTAGCTATATTTAATAATTAAGGTGAAATCTGATCAGAATGGTGCTAAATGCATAAAAACTTCATTCGTGAATGAAATGAGCTGAGATTCGAATATGTCATGCCTCTGTGACTTTTATATGTTGTGTTAAATTTTTAGAATTTTTGGACTTGATTTGATATGGTTAATAATTTAATTTTTGTTTCTGCCGAAAACTTTATGAATTACTATAAATCGGTTTGTTCATGAAAAATTCTGAAACCTGGCTGAGATGTTTATATTTGGGGTATATTCATGCTGTTAAAAGATGAAAATTTTTGGAGTTCATTTTAGTGCTGTTTTGATTTAAATTCGATAATTGCTGAATCTTGTGTGAATTTTTAAAAATAGCACATTTAATGTCCAGGGCTGATATTTTTACAGGTTGTCCCTATCATGCTGTAGCTTGTTGTGTTAAATTTTCAAGTCCTGAATCGTTCATTTGGTTTAGATATGAATTCATGTGCGTTTTTGCTGATTTCTTGTAAGAATTTTATAAATTAATGTGCTTTGAGTTTAAAGCTGAAAATTTATGATTTTACTTATTACTGGAAGATGTAATTTTGTGTAAAATTTCAGAGCCTAGGTCGTAGTGTAGCCTGACCATCTATTTTCATGTGATTAATGATTAATATTTTCGAAACGTGATTTTGAAATAAAAGTTGGGAATCGACTTG